ATAAAAATGAAAATTTAGGAGTGCTGGAAGAGATGCACTTAGGGGAAAGATTCCGGACTTCAGCTTTGCTGAAGAGAAAGCTTAGGCTCTCTAAGAGCGTCACCTATATGGACTCATGTCACCCTCAAGTACTATTGTGATCCCCATCTCACAGATGGGAAAAGGAAGGAAGAAAGAGGGTAAGTAGCTGGAAAAGGATTCATTTCTCCCCTTGGGGGCTCCTTCTCCCCTCAAACAGAGGGAAGTGGCCCCTTTGTCTATCATGTCTAATTCCAGCCCACATCTCCACCTGTATTTTCCAGAGTTTGCCAAGAAAATCCCACAAGGCTGAGTGAGTTTTCTGTCCTCTCTGGGGTCCATGGTATGCTCTGCATCAGTCCTGGTGGTCTTCAGTGTCGGGACAGATTTCTGTGCAAATCTTTTCAGTCAGAGCTGCAGAGCTGGCTTTGTGGCCACATGTGCGATTCATAAAGTTTGTATTTTCCACAGGACTTGGTTTCCAGAGCATTTTGGCCTGAGCACTACAAGGTTTCAGGAATTCCATCAAGAAATGCTGTTCGCAGTTGCGCAGCTACATACAGCCTTCCCAGCAGTTGTGAAGTTTGGCACGAGTGTTCTATTATTGCTTCGGGATCAGATTTTGGAGTTTTCTTTTATTAATATTCTTTTCTGCAAGGACTTATAGGAGGGAAGGGATCTGATCCAACACTGGTTTCTCCAGGTTCATCATTCCCCACTGACATCCACATTTGGCCGCTTTCTGTCGGTTTTGACCTCACTTGCCACGTTGACTCATGTCTTCTGTATCCGGACGGTTGGTCTTTGGGCAGTGCATGAAATGAGACTATTTACTATAGGTGAAGGAATATGTAGTTGCTGTTAATTTGCAACCACCATGTTAAGGACTCTGTTTACATTAACTTTTTCTAAATCAAAATTTACACTTAAAGACAGAGCCTGGTGTTGTGGGGTTTGGTCTCGGTCATGTTGGGGCTCCTGCCCTGACTGGCCCCTACTCCAGGCTGTGAGAGCTCTCAGGATTGCACTGGTCAGTGTACAGTGCCCCGAGGGAAGGTGCCGGTCCGCAGCCTCCACTGGCCGCTGGTCTGGGCAGTGTTGCTACAACTGTGCTCAGTTTGGGTAGCAGATTATTGCTAAGGCCGAGCACAGCAGGCCCTGGTCCTGCCTCCCAACACTGCTGTTTCTCATGGAGGTCCGCTCTCCTCCTGCCTTGCTCCCAGGACCCCGGACCTTGCCAGTCATGGAACCCCGGGGCCATTTTCTTCTTCTAGTTCTAAGGACTCTTCCTCCTATTACGCGTTGTCTTGTGTACCTTCCAAAAATGACATGTTGAAAGCTAGTACCTCAGAATGCAACCTTGTTTGAAAATAGTCATTGCAGATGTAATTAGTTAAAATGATGACTGTGGCAGAGTCTTCTGGAGGTTTCCAGTGAAGGGGATGGAATTAATAAAATCTTCAGCTAAATCCAGTGGAAAGGATGGAATTAATAAAATCTCCAGCTAAATTCAGTGGAGGGAATGGAATTAATAAAATTTTCAGCTAAATAGCACCTTCAGCTAAATAGACACAGAAGTGGAAAGAGAAAAGGCAAAAAAAAAAAAAAAAGAAGAAAGGCTGATCCTGGCCTCCTGACTTCCATGCCACAGAGACCCTGGTGCCTAGGCATGGCATGAGACTCTAGTCCCCAGGAAGAGCACAGAGACCCTAGTCCCCAGGCATGACACAGCAGGGCCTCTTCCATGTGCTTGGGGAATCACCACCCATACAAAGGTCTGTCTCTTCAGCTGTCACCCAGTGTGAGAGACATGTGGTAATTCCTAGGAGCCACGGACACAGATTTCTGTGTTGGGAAGTCTGCAGCAATCCAGGTGCTGGCTCCTGGCAGTGACCAGCATGGGAAATACCCATTATGCTGGTGTGCAGTGACTGGTGGGTGAGTCCTCAAGTGGGCTCCTTCCATCTTCTTTTTACAGTTTCCTGCAGCCCAACAGGCCCTACAATCCTCTGGATGAAGAGCTGCTGACTGTGTGTCCACTCTGGACACCATAGGGAGGGATGTCAGTAACACTGACCAGCCAACTTCTATCATAAGCCGCCTTGGGGCATGTGTTAGCCTGATGACCCAAACTCCAGGGAAGCCCCTTTCTTCACTTCAGACCCTTCTGGCCTTTTGCAAAAATGCCTAGTTCAGGTGGCCTGAACCAACCATGGGCTTCGATCAGAAGTATGTGATGGGCCTCCCCTCCTCCCCCACATACCCCATTAGCTTTGGGGTTCACTGCTGGTCATGTGGTTTTGCAGACTGTTAAGTGACATCTCTCTATGTACACTGATCTAACAACTAGATATTTCCTCTTCTAAGACTTTCTGTGAAGAGGGATCCTGGTTTGGCTCTTTGTTCTTAAAAATCACCTCCAGCGAACAGAATATTCTTCTCATCCTACTGCAAACTAAGAGTAATTTCCCTACTTTGGAGTCCTCACATTTTGTCCTTTTAGATCAATACTACTTTATGAGATTATTTTCTCTTCACTGGCTCACAGACAGGCTGTATTTGTGGGGAGGGTGTGTGTTTGTGTGTGTGTTGCACTGGGGTTCTGGAACTAAGGAATGTTAAATACTGAAGCACAAATGGTTTTGGTGTACAGCTACACTTGGCGTTAGCCACCTCCCTCACTCTCCAGGCCTTTAATTGTGCATATTTATTAGAACATGCTTCTGACCCATATGCATAAAATTTAACTTTGGCACATTTAGCAACACTCTGCACTTGGAAATTTGGGTTATGGAGAAGGCTTTTTTTTTAATTAAAAACTTTTTGGGATTTTCATACAGTTATGAGAAATAATAAAGAAAAATCCTCTAAATGCCTAACCCAGTTTTCTCCAATTATAACATCTTGTAAACTGTAGTAAAAGAATCCTGCCAGGATATTGACGATGATGCAATTCTAGCACCAGGATGACCAACACCCCTGCCCACCACCTCCACCCAACTCCACCCCTGCCTAGCCTACCTAGTCGTAAGCAACCACTACTCTGCTCTCCAGCAGATCCATAATTTTGAAAGACTGGATTTTTATTAGGTAAATCTAGGTGAAGTTGATTTTATTCGTTAGTGTCCTAAGCCCTCTGCCATTTGGTTAGATACAAAGTTAACTTTCCTATGCAAAATGGAGGTGATAACAATAGGATTCAGAGGATTGTTGAGGGATTAACTGGTTAGTTCTCTTGAAAAAAGGACAACAAAATTTGCAGGCAAGCTATAGAACTGAGACATACTGCAGGGGAAAGGAGAGAGAAGGGTCAAAATGGGGGAGGGAAGAGCACAGGACACTATGGTGATGGTTCACAGGTGATCTTGGGGTTGGAATTTTATGGGAGTTATACCTGAGGGGAGAAATAAACATTATGCAAAAATGAACAACGATGTAAAAATAAAATAAAATATAAATAAATACTAAACCAGTGCTTACAAATGTTAATATCACATGAATCTTCAGGGTCCTGTTAAATGCAGCTTCTTACTTGGCTACTTTTTTTTTAAATTAAAAACATTTTAGTGGGGCCTGAGAGTCTGTATTTCTAACAAGCTTTCAGGTGATGCTGCTGTTGCTGGTCCTCAGAACATACTTGTTGGAATGACTCAAAATAGTGCCTAATACAGAGTAAGCACTCAGGAATTGCTGGCCGTGTTTTTCCAGCATGAATCTGAAGCTATGTCAGACTGAAACCAGAGCAGTGAGCTTGAGCTACCAGCTCCAGAGCCTGGAATACCTCTAGTCCCTGAGGATGAGGCTGACTTTTGAAGGCAAGTTGGAATGCCATCTTCCAGCCATTAAATCCTACAAGTAACACAGCCTGGTTGTAAAGAGCACATACATATATTAAGTTAAAAATAAACTTCAAAATAAATCCTGGCCCTTTATCCCAACATGGAAACCTGCTTCAGTCTTCTTCCTTTTTCAGTAACGGGAAAGTGGTCTTTTTATTTCATTTAATTTTTTAAAATTGAAAGTACCATTGTTTTACATTCTTGTTAGTGTCTTGGATTTGTCCCCTCCTAGGTCTCCCTCCACGAAAGCACCCATAGTCTTCTACCACAGTCCATTGTACTCTCCTCCCCGCTTCTCACCCTGCCTCCTCTCCCTCTGGATGCCTCAAAGCTGTGGTCAACTTTCAAGGGTTGTTTTAATATTTGTCTTTGTCTGACCTTTTGTTTGGTTTCTCTTTATTCCACATGTAAGTGACAATATTTGGTATTTATCTTTCTCCTGGCTTATTTTGCTTAGCATAATCCCTTCAGCTCCATCCATGTTGCTGCAAACACATGAATTTATCTTTTTTGATTGCTGAGTAGTATTCTGAGCACATGTACCACATCTTCTTGATCCATTCATCTGTTGTTGGACACTTTAATAATAGCCAATATTGTGGCTATTGTATGGTGCTGCTAATTTAAGTACAGATTTCCTTTCAAATTAGTGTTTTTCTGATCTTTGGGTAGATACCTAGGAGTGGAATTGCCGGGTCATATGGCAGGTCCACTTTTAGTCTTTTGAGAAACCATCACACTGCTTTCCACAGTGGTTGGGCCAATTGACATTCCCACAACCAGTATAAGAGGACTCCTTTTTCTCCACACCCTTGCCAGCCAGAAACAAGTGCCTCATTTTTAATAGCTGCATACAATAGTATGGATCTACCACAGCACAGTTAAAGTGTGTTCTGCTGAGGAACACTTATCTCTAAATTTTTGATTTGACAAGTTACAATGAACATTCTCTGGGTCAGGTGACTGAAAGTAGAGTTGCTGGAGCAGAGGTTATATGCATTTGCACATTTGATAGTCATTACTCTCCCCCCAAATACTACCCTCCACTATTTACTGGCCACGTGTAGTACATACGTGTCCACTCAAAACATCCCCGCTATCACGGGGTATTAACGAGCTTTTTCACTTCTCTCAATCTTCTAGGGGAAAGAACTGCCTCATGCTTACTCTAAGTTGTATTCCTCTAATCACTGGAAGAACTGAGCATCTCTTCTGTTTGTCTTCTGCATCTCGTGAAATCAAGTTTCTAGCCCTGGCCAGAGCAAGCCCTCTGTTCAGCTCAGAGCCACATGGAGGAGGCACCACAGAGAGCCTCGCCAACGGAGGTAAGTGATAGTTAATTGTTTCATGCGAAGACCCTGCTGCAGAAGCAGTAGATGCAATCCCCAGAGAGCCTGCAGCTCATGCTGGATGAAAGAAGAAGGCTTCTGTGTGACACCAGACTCTGTCTGTTCTGGTGACTGTTAATCATCATTCTGTGTCTGTGACACTGCAGCTCCAGTCAGCCCTCCTGTGTCAGAACAAGAGAGCCTATGTGCTGCAGCCTGGGGGAAGGGCGCTGGGCCTAGGGCGCTGGGCCTGAAACGAGTAGGTTTGAATTCAAATCCTGTTTTCCGTGTGGGGTTTTCCTTGAAGACTGTTCAGAGCGGCCTTACCCCAGCTGTCCTCCTCCTCTGTCATCTTGCAGCTTTGGACCTGCCTTAGCTTGTCTTTACACTGCACTCCCCGTTGGCCTGGGTAGCACCATTTTTGCCGGTTTCTTTCCCAGACCCTGTGCCCCTCTTCTCTTGCCCTTGAGCGATTCTTGGCTTAGTGCTCTCCTAGTCTCCTTCTTTAATACCTACTAGGCTAGGTACGGCCCATACATGAGCCACCAGAGGTTCTCCACCAGCTCCTGAGGTCTCAAAATGGGCCGCATCCTCCTTGTGCTGGGTCTTTGTGTGTCCTCTGCAGAACTATGGGCATGTGATTTTATTTTATTTGTTTAAGATTGTATTTATTTATGCATACAAGAACTGGGATACAGGCCAGAGGTACAGGGGTGTGTGTGTGAGAGGATTCACCAGAGACAGAGTGGGGAGCAGAACAGGCAGACTGACTGAAATACACTGCTGAGGGGAGCAGTGGGTGAGACAGGAGAGGTCTGCTGGGCCATGTGGGTAGCTCCCTGGCTGGCCAGGGATCAAACTCATGCTGCAGAGGCTGCAGGTGGCTTCACATTGCTGTTCTTAACCCCTTGCACCATCAGGGAGGCCTGGCATGTAATTATAATGAAGCTGTTTGCTACTAAGCTAGCTACCCCTAGTAGGTTGACCCAGGGAACTCAGCTCCAGGGACAGGTACAGTGACAGACTCATCACTCTGACTACTATGGCTTTGTTACTGATCCACTGTCATGCCTGATGCTCCCCCAGGTTCCTGGTGGCCTGCCTCACAGCTTTCCAGGGGTGCCCAGACATATCTGAACCTCAGTGGTGAGCATGGAACAATCAAGTACATAATATACTGCAGTGGGAGTGGGAATTAGAATAGCCATTTTTGATATCAAATTTTCTTAAAAATTTTTGTCATTCTTTTTAAAATAATTATATGACCCATCTTTAAGCTCTGCATCCCAGATTTTTGAATGTCCTACCACTAGTCCTGTCTGTTCCCAGTGTGATGGAGTGTGGGCTCTTTGCTTCAAGGTTATATGCTTTGACCCTCTCATGGGCTTGTAGACTGTGCTGCATAGTAGAGCTATGTGGGTACCTCTCTCTTCCCCTCTAAGTGTACTCCTTGAACAGACTGTGTCTGAAACCCTCTGTGGGTGCCATTGCTGTTTGGTGAAACTTCAGCTGTAGGACCAGTCTCCATGAGTACCTAATGTTCATCGTGTGGCGTGAATTGGCAGTAGCAGTGAACTGTACATGATCTGAGGCCCTTCTGTTACCAGGCAAAGTGTCTAAAAACTGGCACTGGGTCAGAAGCTCTCTCACCAATTCTGGGTCCAGCCACCTGCCACCACAGGTGCAAACAAAAGGAGCTTTGGTGCAGAAAAAACAAAAACGATTTATTCTAACCAACATGGTAGAGGGGAAGGGAGAACTAGCAAGGGAGAGGGAGAGGGAGAAGACCCAGTTACCACAATGGTGTGAAATGGAGCTGCTGTTACAGGATCCAGCAGGTATGGCAAGGCCTGAGTGTCTGGAGCCAGGGTCTGCAGTGCGCCAGGGCAAAGTCCTACCAGGTCTGCCACTGCCAGGGTAACAGGGAATGACAGAGTCCTGCTACTGCTGAGATCCAGGGCTCTCCCCTCCCTGCCCAGAGGTTGGGGAGAAAGGCTCCCCAAATGGTCCTAAGCTCCACCCCCTTCCCAGCATCCTCCTCACTCAGGACATTGCGGTGGAGTTCAGACCATGGCACTGTGCAGGTGTTCCATCTGGCCTGAGTGGTATCTGGACATCAGGAGGCAGAGTTTGTCCACTCATCCTGGTGGGCACCTTTGCACCCATCCTGGGTTTGACAGCCGTGAAACCCCAGGAAATGCAGGACTTAACTGTACTGGACATTCTAATACTTCTGTAGAACATCTAGGACTCTGGGATCTTTGACTGCTCTGCCACCATTTCACTGTGTCCCTGGCCAGCTCTTAATACCCCCGTATCTCATGTCCCACCTGTGAAGTGTGGGAATGGCCCCACCCCAGAGATCTGGTGAGACACTGTATTTATGCGCACTGAACCACCGAAAGAAAAAGTTCTCCATTTATTAGAGGGCTATTTTTAGTAATCTATTCATTTCAGACCAGGAAATAGTGGTGTGGTTTTTCAGTAAAATACCCCAGTGATCGCCTGTCTTCAGATATCTTTTGCGTAAAGAGCTTATGTTCAGGAAGAACTCAGCAGGTTGGAAGTGAGGATTGAAATCCAATTCCAATCACTACTGACCTAGATCCCTCTGCTCCTCAGATGTTTTCCTATAGTCTTGGGGAATTCTGGAAACTGGGGCCACCTTAAAGCCATGATAGAAAACCAGGGGCCTCTGTTCTGAGACATGAGTGCTCTGGGAAGATTTGGGAATGGCTTAAATTTCTCATCGAGGGATGTTGGGGGCAGGCACCTTCATTGTTCGGGAGCCCATCTGGGATGAATCTGGAGACTCCAGGTACTGCGTTGTGTACCGGGGAAAAGCCTGTTTCCTTCTCCACATCTTGCTGATTTTGGAGGACTGAAGGTGCAGAGGGTCGTGATCACGTGAGGGGAGGAAGAAGTCTGCATGAGGAGTGTAGCTATAACAATGCCTCACTCATCCAGAACCATGGGACTAAGCTTTACCAGGGGTGGATTTCCCAGAATATAGACTACCCGCTACATGAGCAGATTTTGAAGAAGCATCATCATTTGGGAGAGAAATCTTTCTAATGGGTAGCGTGTCTTGTCTGACCCCTCAACGGTGTGGGGAACAATATTTTGCTTTTTCTGTATTTTTTTTGCTTTATGGCCCATCCCTGGCCGCTTGAGCTCCAGCTAGTCTCACCTGTTCTGAAGTACGCCCCAGGCCTGTCCCTCTCTGAGTCTCAGCAACTGTCCCCATGTGTCTGCATTTTATGCGTCTTCACCTCTGTGCTCTCCTGAAAGCACTCTGCTGGGCATCTGGCACACCTAGTGAGTGCCAAATAAATTTCTTTGAATGAGGGACTTAGAGCCATAAAAACCCCACTGTTTTAAAGTTCTATCCAGTTGACAAAGCACTTTCCTTTGTCTGTTTTTGAAACAGGGGCTTCCATAAGGGGAAAGTCCTGTTCGTTGTTTCATCACTCTCCAAACATTCCATCCACTCCTCCTTTATCCCAACACGATGCCAGGCTTCAGAGTCATGAAGACAAATTAATCTGGGTTCCTGCCCTCAGGGAGCCCTTGATCTAAAATTAACATTAAGAAAGTGGACACAGTTCAGTATGGTCATGCTATGCTGAGGTGTGTCCTCCATGCCATGGAGCAGGGAGAAAAGGGTGCTTCCCTGTACTTAATGACCTATGGCAATTTTTTAAAATCTCTCTAATTTGCATTCTTCTCTCCTTTTCCACTGTGCAAGTTATATACCTGGCATATCTTCTTGTCATTCTTTCGCCCCTTTCTTACCTGCTGTTTCTAATCTACTTGTGTCTAGAAAATTGGCTGGTTGAACTTAGCTCCTTTCTTTATAGCAGCGGATTTCATCTCTGCCTGGGTGCATGTTACAGATCCCTGGGATCCACTAAATCTCCAGATTGTGTCTCACGTGTGAGATTCTGATCTTACTTAGACTAGGTCCCAGACTCCCAGCTGATCTATTGTGTGCTAAGGTATAGAACTGTCTGACAGGCAATTCTAAATTAGATTCTTACAAGACACTGGATGACCCTAATCTCATCTGTGGAATTGAGTGCATTAATTTTGTGCAGCTCTTTTTGAACCACAGATTCTACTTTTAAACCTGTGAGGTGTGAAGACACAGTCCTGGCCTCTCTGCAAATAGCAGGAGCCGGTGCAGAGTGCAGGGCCAGAAAGATGTCTTAACACCTCACAAGCAGTCGTGATGGTTAAGATAATTCTAACTGGCTGTTGAAATCTCAGCTAATCACTGTTTGTGCTAACAAGGGGCCAGAGATCAAATCCAGGAGTCTGTAACTGAGAAGCTTCAGGACCTCTGGTTGAGAAACTGAATTTGAGCTATTTATTCACCCAGGAATGTTAAATGGAACCTGACATCCGTAAGATATCTAGGAGAGCAAAGTTACCAAAGTAGTCACAACCTACTGCCTTCTAATTTTTGAAATGTCTTCTCTTCAAAAGCAGCCTAATCAGGCTCTGCTTCCATGCAGACTGGCTGGCCACCTGTCATGTTTTAAGTCCATCTAGAAGCTGTGAGGTGCTACTGAAATAACTCAGGTTATTTCATTCCATGGGCAACATTCACTGAGTACCTACTCTGGGCATAGAGGAACACTTTGGGCCTGGCATAGTGGATAAAAACAGATGTTGTCCTCGAGGCACTTGCTGTGTGACATCAGACTTACCTGTCCTAACATATGAAAAGAAAAGTCAAGACCCAGTAGAAAACTCACTGCTACCTTGTCTGCCCACAGGCTCATGTGGAGCAGCCATGAGGGCTGAAGAAGTTGATGAGGCCAGGAGTGTTTTAGGGGCTCTCTTCTGTGAACTTAAAATGCAGGGTGACCACATGTCTCCCTTGCTTTCCTCCAGGATTGGGGAATGTGACGATTAAAATCAGTAATTAAAGCATTGGGTAAGTCATAAGCATCCATTCTGTGAGGGAGGCAGAGATGAAATACTCAGGTCTG